CAATCTCTGTGGCTCAGAAGGCTGCTGACTGACGCCCCAACTCAGTCCACACAGTCTGCCCAGTTGTGTGCGTGTGTGTTCTTCGGTGTGGCTGACCGATGGACTGACAGTCAGGCTGTCACGGCGTCTTCTCGAGTGTGTGGAGTTGCGAAAAAATATGCTGTGAGCCAGACTGAAATAGTTCCTTCTCAAGCGTTCTGTGACACTCTGAAGCATGTGAGAAGATAGTGTGCGCTTCATTGGTGGTGGCTGCCAGTCGACGTCTCCTTGGTTACTCAACATTTAGGAGTGACCGCCCAGGCCACCTGAAGAGACACGTGTCGCCCTTCTATGCCAACAGATCTATGGCAGTATCAACAAACTATGGCCCTCGCAGCCTGGTATACGCTGACACCTGGTTCCCTGCCAGTAGATGCGCTTGCATTGCCTGTGAATTTACAGGTGTCGGGCATGACTGACCAGTCACCTTCGTACGTCTGACCCCTGTTGTTGTTGTTGTTGTTGTTGTTGTTGTTGTTGTTGTTGTTGCGAGTGAAGTTTATATTAACGACCAGAGGGTGTTGTGACACGCCTAGTTGCGGGTCCGGCCTCCCGTCTTCCTGAAACTGTCTTGACAGCGGGTGCAGGTGGGGGGAGTAGGATAATCTACAGTCTACAGTCACACGCTAGTAGCCATGACTGCTGCATCTCGCCGTGTAGCACACGGTGGACATCGGCGGCTCCGACGGTCGGACGAAGTATATTTCTACGGTAGATCCATTTGTCATTCTTATAAATATATCTTAGGATTCGTGTTCTGAAAAGACCTCAATGAGTATGACGGGTCCACATGAGTGATTTCAAGGGCCATGAAGGAAACAGATGATCGAGCATTGCCCTGTTAGTGAATTCGTTGCAGAGATACGATTATCCGGATCTACACTATCTACGTGGGAAGGCCCTGCTTCATGCTGCGTGCAAGGTTGGGAGTCAGTTATCGGGGGTGCACCTCGAGTTGGTTGTCCCTAGATCGTGAGGCGCCTACGCGTCTGC